GATTGATCTTAATCAGGAGGATGAGTATGTTGCATGCAATGAGTTCTTTTAAAAGGTGTTTACTGTTTTTCTAATCAATGCGTTTATTTACAGCTCGCGCGTTAGTGTGTTGGAGGCATTCGATCCTTTGCTCAATGCGGATGAAGAAGGTAAGCACTGAAATGCTGTTGGTACTTATATTTTCATTATGCGCGCGATTAGTTTGAGTTGAAGCCTGAAAGTTGCTCCAGCTTTCTCGTTTCATTTGGTTTGGAATGTGTTTTACAGTTGACTTTACTTAGCTCATTACCCCTAAATTCTTTAAATATTATAATGCTCGCAATTTTTAAATAGCTTGTTCCTCACTCTCCTAGTTCACGTGGATTACTTTTCAAACCCTTGTACAACAATTGTACTTTTTTTACCATTTGCTTAGACATTGTTCCCTATACAAATAGAAATAGCTTTTTAATATCAACACTATAAACAAGTTTCTGTTATGGTATCGATTTAGCGGTAGTTTGTTTTAACGACAATTGCGAAAGGCGAAAAGGTGACTATTACTCATATTATTTGTCACGCCAGAAGACAACTCTGTGAACTGAAGGGCGATATCCAGAACTGCATNCATTACCACCTTTATCAGCTCTCGCTTCTTGAATGTCGTCAAGGAGTTCAATCACCACCAAGTTTCAGCTGCCTGGTGACAACGTTGATGAATGAGCCAACCCGCGCGTGGTTTAGTAGCCGCTTCAACAACAACCGCTTCCCCGAGAGATCCACGTTACTCTGCTACAGTTACGTCTGGGTACTGTAGCATGTTCAAATTTTACCTATCCAGACTCGACTAAAGTTTTGTCCTGTATGTGAAGATTGCATTCATGACAATAACTACGTCTTCACATGTCCCTTTAAAACTATTCAACTAACGCCCCTTTCTCTTTGGTCCAACCTCATCAAAACAGTACGTTTCCTGGGGCTACCTTAGCCACCGAGAGAGTTATGTCTCTCACAAAGCTTCAACGCAATGCGCACACCCTACGACATCACTGGAGGTGATTATCGGGCCCGAGCCACTGCACATCACCATACAGCCTGCAGCCAAGCAAGTTCTTATCAGCTACGACCACGGAAATGCTAGTATCCAAGCTTCTAGAAGAAATTTAAAATGGAGCTCCACAGGAAATTAGCTTGGCAACCACTATAGTGTTACATAGACTAATCTAAAGCTCCCGAATACTTTGCGGTAGGCCGTGTGTGTTAAATCTTCTCTGGTACTTGAGTGCATTGCTAAGCTTACCGCCCTTGCTGAAAATAATCATATGGTTGTCAGCTGCTATGAGCACAAGGTAATAAGGGAGCCGAGGTAGCGGACGGCTTAGAATACAAGGCAGCGGCTTCAACTCCCTACAGTGTCTAAGCTATTGCTTGCAGTAGGTTCAAACACAGTCAGCGAAGAGCAAAGAGAGATAATAGGAATGAGAGAACAACTCTGGTAAGCAACACATGACTTCGCCAAGTCAAAAGCTTAACAAACTGAAGAGATACAGGATCCTAGTTAATCTCCCCAAAGAGGAAACTAAAGATTATTGTAGTCATTTTAACAATACATCCGTTGTGTCTCAGTCGGGTCCATTCTACGCCCCTGGTTTATTTCTGTGAAAGGACTATTAATTCAACATGTTTGAATAGAGGTTATAAAAGCACACAAGTTTTAAAAAAGATTTTATGAGAGTACCTTGGCTGAAGATCAGTTGGGGTATTTGGCTGTGCTAAGTTCTTAGTTATTTCCTAAGCGTCTCGTAATTGAATTTTTCTTAGTTTCCTTCAAAAATTTATAAAAAAAGGCAATCCATTGAATATAAATACCGGGAAATTATGTTATCGCGCTTAAATTTATATTTACGATTCTTAAATATTTAATTTTTTATTCATACAAAATAAAGGCTTAACTCTTACAATTTAAAACAAATATGTATTGAGTTCTTAAGTTTTAATACGTTTTAAAAATGCAAAAGTAACTTAAAAAGTTAAATTTTTATGCTCACGCTTAAACTGATTTTCCCTCTTTGGCTTGGCATTAGCATTTTATTTGACCTTTATTTTCTTTTTGCATTTCCATTTACCTAACATTTACATATGCCATTTATAAACACACATCTGTGCACTCTAACATTTATACATGCGTATTTCCTGTGGCTTTGTAAATTTTCCTTTGTGCACTTTAAAGGTATTTTAATTTCATTACAAAATATTATTGTACTATATTTTTATTTATTTCTCTATCTTCCAGTATGGAAAAAATAACCAACACATTTTGTTGCAAGCAAAACGTTTTTCTACTACCACACATACATACACATACTTTAAACGACTAATGAGAAAAATATGTATTAAAATTTTAAATAATATTTACATTAAAAGCGACACGAAGAAGCTTACATAAATATATTTACATCAATGTAAAAAATGCAGCAACCAAAAATATAGAACTAAAAAATTAAACGAAAATAATAAGCGGTGTCTGATGTCTACAACAATTTAGATATTAATATTAAAATTCCAAAGAAATTAAATTTCGCCATACTCTGTTCAACTATCACATTGGCAACGTAATGCAAAAATAAATTAAGAAAGGCGCTCGTACAATTCCTTCGATGTTTTCGTCGTTTTTGAGATAAAATAATAGATAAATATTAAATACAGCTTTTTATTTTGTTCCAATAGTTGGTTCACGACTTCAAAATATAATATGGGATATGGTTAACGAGTGTCATTAAAACATATCCACCACCTATTGGTCTCTATTACAGCACGTGTAACCGTTTATGTTTTAAAAAAAAGTATACTATTCGAAACACAAAATGTTAAACGTTTGCCTAAACTTTTGTTATCGATATTTTTGTCGCTTTTGTCATCAATATTTTTATCGATTTTTCTATAGATATTGTTATCGCTTTTGTTGTCGGTATTTTTATCGGTTTTTTTACCGATTTTGCTATCGATATTGCCATCGCTTTTGTTATCGATAGTTTTATCGATTTTTTTATCGAATTTATTACCGATTTTGTAATGGATTTTTGATAGATTTTGTTATCAATTTTGTTATTGACTTTGGAATCGATTTTGTTATCGATTTTGTAATCGATTTTTCGATAGATTTTGTAATCGATTTTTTATCGATTTTGTAATCGATTTAGTTAACGATTTTGTTATCGATATTTTTATCGATTTTGTTATCGATTTTATTATCGCTTTTGTTATCGATATTTTTTTCTTAGTTTGTGCTTTCGTTTTTGACTTGGATATGCTCTTAACCATACCACGTATTCTACGTTTAAATTTAGCGGGTGTATCTCCGATACAGCCTGCAGACCAAGACGAAGGCGCTGGACTGTTCCTTTTTTTTTTTTAACTTTACTTGTAAAAGCATTTCGTGCATACTTTTTGCCTATGATTTTACATAATATAATACATTCCTTCTTCGTATTAAGTTTAGATAAATAACTAATAACTCTCAGCTAGTTGTATATAAACCTACAATAATATGTATGAAGACCTTGAAGAAGAGGCACAATGGATAAATGAAAAGAGAACTAGACATGTGAAGAACAGGATTTCAGCAAGTGTGTACTTTCTTTGAACTGACAAATTTTGTATACAGTTAATTTTAGATGAATTTTAATGTTGAAGGATCTCAATTTCGACCATCTTTTTATATAGA